GTCTGAAGGTGTGGACTTGCTTGTTCTGTCGCTTTTGTGTCTGTGTGTGTTTATTATAGGATTTGTGCTTTTTCTGGATCCTTTGTCTTACAATTCACCTGAGAAGGAAATCGGTGAAATAGGCCCTGAGCTCAGCTTGGCAGAAAGAATCAGCAGACAGTATATTCTGGCTTTAAGCCCAGTACAGGCTGTAAAAAGGCCCAGAGGTAATCCTTTAGAGCACTGTAATTGGATGTTAGGATCAAGTTGGAGAAAATAGAAAACGTGTGACTTGGCAAAAAAACAACTTTCACACGAAGCAGACTGATTATTGCCAACGGTAAAATACTTTTTATATCTTAGAAATGGGGGTTCTTCTGATCTGAACCTTCAGTGCTGTGTCTTTAGAGGTTTAGGTTCACAGAACGAATAACTTTGCTGGCCTGCTACTGATCTTGCTTGGTCATCAGAAATATGGAACACTACTTTTCCAACAAAAGAGTAAGGTGATGTAGAAGTTAATGAAGGAAAGCAGGTTAACTAGCTGAGAGAAAGTGACCGGATTCCAGATCCTCATTAATTAACCTTTCCCTACTGTACAAACTTGAGCACCTGTGGATTGCTGCCAGCACTCTGAATCTTGCCCTGTCTACTTGGCTGTGTTGTGCAGGAGAAACTGGAGCAGCAGTACGCACAGAGCTATAAGCAAATCTCCATGCTGGAGGATGACCTGAGCCAAACACGGTGCATCAAAGAACAGCTGCACAAATATGTCAGGGAGCTGGAGCAGGCCAACGACGACCTGGAGAGAGCCAAGAGGTACACTGCCTTTCTTTAAACTCTTTCTGTCTACTTTGATGAGGTCATGCATAAGCAAATAGTACCATGGCCCCTTCCACTAATGCATTCATGTTGTGTACTAAATATTCATGTTGTGTACCTGGCTGGACTTTCAGAGCCACCATTACATCACTGGAGGACTTTGAGCAGCGACTGAACCAGGCCATAGAGAGGAATGCTTTTCTAGAGAGCGAACTAGATGAGAAGGAGTCTCTGCTGGTGTCTGTGCAGAGACTGAAGGACGAGGCCAGAGGTACTGTGCAGACCTCTACTGAGTACTCACTTTTGCTTTTTTAACAACTGTGCTGTTAAATAATTGTTGTTGGGTCTGTATGAGGGTTTGTTATGGTCAACTCTGTGTTGTGCAGATCTGAGACAGGAGTTGGCTGTGCGAGAAAGGGCCACAGATGTTACTAGAATGTCAGCCCCTAGTTCTCCAACGCTGGACACAGATAAAATGGACACTGCTGTTCAGGCCTCCCTGTCTCTTCCAGCTACACCAGTGGGAAAAACCATTGACCATCCTTTCATGAATCAGAAAGGTATACTAGCCTGCTGAATTATCCTTTTTTCTGTATTTAACTACCCTTTTTATTTAATTGTATTGCACTTATTATGTAAGTTACTATTTATGCAATTATTTCATAATTATTCAGTTTGTTTGTGTCTTAGTGTTGACCAATGGTTGTGGAAACTCTCCGCTCACCCCATCAGCCAGGATCTCTGCCCTCAACATTGTTGGAGACCTGTTACGGAAAGTTGGGGTAATTCTTTCGTTCGTGTTCTTTAATGCTACAGCATGCACATTGTTCATATTCCACCTTGTGCCTCTTGCTTATAAAGAGCAGCATGAGGGAGCCAGGTGTCTTCACAGCAGGCAGGAATAATCGCTTGTGTGCATTTCTGCACTTTCACAGGCTCTGGAGTCCAAGCTGGCTGCCTGTAGGAACTTTGCCAAGGATCAAGCAGCAAGGAAAAACTACAGCACAGGAAATGGCAACCTGATTAACAGCAACGCCACCAAGTTCTCTCATTCACTCCACACAACATACTTTGACAAAGCGTGAGTAGTCCAGTCTGCTTTCTTCATCAATCTAGTCATGTAGTATTGCTTTATTATGTAATGTCAGGTATTAATTTTATTTTTACTTTTGTTTTAATGTCCGTATATTAATGTTTATTATGGCACCTATGATACTTATGTAAATTAAGAATTTCCTATTTCTCTTAGCATATTGCAATAAAGATCTGAATCTGAATTTGCCCTACAGTTACAGATTAGGGCTGAAATCTCCACCAATAATTCTCTGAGCTTTCTGTCTTCCCATGACAACCAGTGGCATTATATATTGATTGCGCTGTGTTCTGTGCAGGACTGTGAATGGACTGGACCCCGGTGCCCTAACCGCCATGGCGTCCCCACGAGCTGTGTCTCCTCCTGGCATGCTGCCCCTCAGCGTGTGAGAGATCCATCTGCTGCCTCCACACAAGCCGCCAGACACCATGGAAACAAACGGAAAGGACATTTGAAAACCCTGCCGCTCTGTATGCATGACTGTGCGTGTGTGCGAGAGAGAGTGAGAGAGAGCGCGAGGCCGAGAGACTGGACAGCAGTAACGTTGTGCCTCACGTGTGCGTGTCTGACAGGTGCATGTCAGACAGGGTAGCACATACGACTATGTATTTGTTGAGCCCAGTTCTGAAGAGGTCTCAGCATTTCTCACGTTTTGCCATTTTTTGGTTGTTTTAAAGCCAGCTAAATGACAAAGGGCCCAAATGGGCCACTGCTTCTTTTTTGTTCTGTGTGTTGCACAAGGAAAATACTGATTTAGAAAATATTTAAAAAAGGGATTTTCTTTTAGAGCATCATTAAACTTGAGGATGTGTGTACACACATGGAAAGCAGGCATGGAGAGGATCAGAGGTACATACAGTATGCAGGTTCTTTCCATAGTCTGGACTGACTGAATTATATGTGGTTTGGATCCAGGCTTCAGAGCACCATTGTCATTAGAGTATTTTATGCAGAGAGCAGTGAAGGGTTGACCAAGAATGTCATAGTAGGGTCTTCCAAAATGGAATGGAAATATCACCCACTCTCAATAGTGACCCTGTAAATTATTAACAGGCTTCTGTCTCTGGCCTGGATGCTGCTTCACCTTTGTGGTTGGATGGTTACTGACATGGACAGTACCTAGTTCAGCATATTAGCTTTGGACATTTACTATCACAAAAGGGATAAGAAAATACAGCACGCTACAAATACCACTATTTACAGTAGTACCTGTTTAGGATTTGTCCAGCCAGCATTCTCACAATGGCTAATGTGTGGGGAGGAAAAAGATACTGTTTTATTTATATTCTATGGTTATGTACTTTTGGTGCAATGTGACTTGTCACTTGAAGTATATTGGTTAAATAATTGTTAGTGGCCATGTGAACCTCATCTCTGTCCCCATGTACTTTGTTCTTTTGCTGGTGGGTTTGACATTCACCAGTTGTAGGTTTCACTCACAGAGAAAATGTCGGCCTCTATTTCTCACAGTGCTCCTTCTTCTCCCAGTTCAGACTCATCCATACCAGCACTTTGAAAACAATACACTTTTGGAGCACTTGTTAGCTTTATCTTCTTGCCCCCTTAGTGTTTGATTTCGCACAGCATATTAAGTTATTGAGCACTCTATTCATCGGTTGCTTTGTCACATGTATATAGGTTTGTAAGCATTCTAAGTTTTTGCCTAGGAAATTTGTACATACCAACATCGGGCCTTCCAGCTCATTTAATTTATTTCAGATTCTTTATGGCATGTTTTGAGATGAGGAGTAAGTTTTACAAATTGTACATCGTTTAAAAATCATATAATATAAAACGGTTGTCCAGTATGTGCAAATAAAGTAAACAAAGTCATGTGATTGTGTCACCCTTTTTGAGTGTAGCAACAGTTTGATATCCAACAGTAAGATATCTATCTGATACCCAGTATCAATATCAGATAGGATATCAGTGAAAAATGCTGGAGTGGATTTTGGGGGCAGGGGGCTCACAGAACTGCTTGTACCATTATCACAGAGCGAATTAAAGTAGGTTACATGTTAACATATGAACAATGAGTACCTAAACTCTTAAAAATAATGGTTCTTAAACGTGTTCTTTAGTTAGGAAAATGGTTCTACATTTAACCACTCAAAGAAGATTTTGTATGAATAAAGGGTTCTTTGCATCATAAAGTTCTTCAGATTAATGAAAAATGTGCACGAATGTACTACAGATGGTTCTATACAGAACGTTTTTTTCCATATAGCACCCAAAAGGTTCTATTGTTACAAGCTTGATGTCATAAAAATAAAAGCACTCTTTCGGGTGCTATTTAGAACCCTTTGTGATAAGGTTCTATCTAGAACCATCTACAGCACATTCTCCATCAATCTGAGAATCATTTCATGACGCAAACAACCCTTAAATCATGCAAAAGTTTCTTTAAATGTTCATGGTTCTACATAGAATCATTTTCTTTAAAGAACCCTTGAAGAAATCATTTTTAAGAGAGTACCTCAAGGATTATATTACTAATTACAATTTTGTATTGAAATTTGTGTTTAATCGTAACGATTTTATTTATGTAGTGTCTTCTCCAAAAGCTAGACACGCTTAACAAAAAACAAAAGAAAATACTATATGTTAAAATAAACAGTAAGTAAACACAAAAAATCATCTTAAGTGAAAGAGGAATAACAAAATGCATATAAAAGAAGGTAAAGACATACCATAAGAAATAAAGTAAAATATATAATTAACATACAATAAGAATAAAAATGTAAGTAAGGGCAAATTAGCAACAGTATGCATCCCTAAAAAGGGGAGTTTTAAGGAGCGATTTAAAAGACTACAGACTGTCTGCTGTTCGGATGTTATCAGGGAGCTGGTTCCATAGGCATGGAGCAGCAGAGGAGAATGCTTGATCACCTACAGCACGGTGACAGTGCAGTTTTTGAGCACTTGAGCATAGTACTTTTAGATGCCTATCTTACATAAAGTGATTTAATTACATATAGCAAATATATAACAAGTAGTAATAATAATAAATAAATCCTGCATGGATAAAGGGGTCAGTTTCCATGCCAGACAAGCAACATTGGTGTATTACACTAAGTTTTAAATAATATGCAGGAGTCCCTGTTCCTTAAAAGTAGTGCTGGGCATCACAGGCATTACAGGCATCACAGGCACAGCCCCAGCTTCTTCTCCATTTCTGCACACAGGATATTTTTCTGGATCTTTAAGGACAGAGGAGAACCTTACATCAGTATCGCTGTGCTATATGATTGAAAATACTTTTTGCGCATTTACAGAGAATGCCCTGATAAAGTTTACCTTCCCAGAAGCAGTGAGTGGATAGCTGTTGACAAACACTACAAAATGTGGAATTTTGAAGTGAGATATCTGGAATAAATGAACAGGTATATGTCCTGTTAAAAATGCCTTCATGCCTTCTTTTGAGAATTTTTATTGTAATTTAGTATGAAAGTATGAAAGACTATAAAACAGTTGTTACTTGGGGTGGGCAATATGACAAAAAATGGTTATCATGATACTTGAAGACATTTTCACAATAAATGATACAAATCATGATATTTTGTTTTTGGTAATTCCAGTAGTGCCACATTTAAAAATAGTCAATCATCAATCACTTTTATTCAGTGTTTCACAAACTGTTTTCTCTGTAAGTTGGTCAGCTGTAATTAAGTACAGACGATATAACCATGTACTCAGAAAAACGTATTGTGATGATTTATCACGAGAATGATAAAATATTGTCATATTGCCCACCCTAGTTGTTACAATTACTTTTCATATCGTTAGCATACTCTGCAACCCCCAGCTTCATGTTAAAGTGTCTTCTTTGGTATGAAGACTAAAGATTTAAGGTGGAATTCCACCGTTTCCTTCCAAATTTCTTCAGAATTGAACCGTTGAGCTGTAAACAGAGTCATTCAGAGAGGTCTGATGTGAAATGCACTATTCTAGAGAAAGTTACTGAATCACAATTGTTGACAGTGGTGGTGAAATGTCTCTAAAAGCAACCTCACAGAAAGTTATTAAATGAAATGGTTACAAATGTACTTCCTGATGCCTGAGACATTGATTTATGATAGTTGTGAGAGAAAGTTTTGGCATGAAAATTTTTTTGGAAGCCATTCATGGCGCAGAGTTACATGCAGGGCCTTTGTAAATATATATTTTTTTTCAAATTTCAGATTTTTCAAATGTTAAATATTTTACCATTATCAGCTTTACATATAAATACTCAGTAGATTTATGTACGTTCACTGATCATTTTGGAAAGTAAATAAAATGGCGATATTTCTGTTACAGACATCATGACCCCTGGTTCCTATTACCACTATTATATCTACTCTAAATAACTTTGTTTACATCTTGATGGAATTAAACAGAAATTTGAAAAATTGGAGGAATTCCCTTTACATGTAAGGACTAATGAAATAATGATCAACAGTTCACATAATACATACTGACAATCTTTTTCCCATTTAAAGATCTAAAGTTCTGAAGTGCTGTTTGAGTGCTGAAGACTGCTGACATCATAACAAGGGGGTCAATTTATTTCATTAAAAAAAATGTAATACGTGAAATTATTCAAAAGTTACAAATAAAACGTTCATTTATTAAAAACATTTTGAAAAGCCAGATGTCCCTAACCTTTCGATAGGCATTGCAAGTAGCTAATACACCGATTAGCCATAACATTAAAATCCTTGTTTCTACAGTCCATTTTATCAGCTCCACTTACTATATAGGTGCATTTTGTAGTTCTGCAATTACAGACTGTAGTCCATCTGTTTCTCTGTGTACTTTGTTAGCCCCCTTTCACCCTGTTCTTCAATGGTCAGGACCCCCACAGGACCATCACAGAGCAGGTATTATTTGAATGGTGGATTCTCAGCACTGCAGTGACACTGACATGGTGGTGGTGTGTTAGTGTGTGTTGTGCTGGTCTGAGTAGATCAGACACAGCAATGCTGCTGGAGTTTTTAAACACCTCAGTGTCACTGCTGGACTGAGAATAGTCCCCCAACCAAAAATATCCAGCCAACAGCGTCCTGTGGGCAGCGTCCTGTGACCACCGATGAAGGACTAGAGGATGACCAGCACAAACTGTGCAGCAGATGAGCTATCGTCTCTGACGTTACATCTACAAGGTGGCTCATCAAGGTAAGAGCGTCTAACAGAATGGACAGTGAGTGGATACACTGTTTAAACATTTTAAAAAGTGTTGAATGGTGTCAATCTTGTTACCTGGCCTTTGCAGTACTCTCTAATCTCCTCCTCAGTGCAGTGTTCTCCCTCTGCTAGCTTAATACAAGCACAAACCTGCTCTCCCAACCGCTCATCTTTCACCCCAATCACCTACAGGGTTTGCACAGACAAAAAAACAGCACACAAAACTTTGAAGTACTTTCCTGTATACACATGAGTGCTAACTCCCTCCTTGACCTCCACACTGCTGCCCTCTTGTGGTGTAATGGAGCAACGACCAGGCTCACCTGTACTTCCTTCACTTTCGGATGTGTGTAGAGGAACTGCTCTATTTCAGCAGGGTAGATGTTCTCCCCACCACGGATGATCATGTCCTTTATGCGACCCTCGATGCGGCAGTACCCGAATCCATCCAGACTGGCAATATCACTGGTCAAGGCAAACCACACGCACAGAATCCTTGTACCATTCATGTAATATTTACATCCTAGCCTTGGGAGATAGAACGCAAACCCTTTTTGATATTGCTGATGAATGTTTCAGGAGTTTTCAATAAAATGATTATGGGGTTCTGTTCGCAGGTGCAATATCCATACTACGTCTGCCAATCAAGCTTCTAAACACTTGCCCAGAACGTTTCTTAGTACTGAACACATAGAAGCGGGTAAGCCAAGTAACATTCTTTAGATTTTTATATTGGGGTTTTACAGTGAATTACATCGTAAGTACTTTAATTCAACCTTGCGACATTCATAATGGAGTTATTTAACTAGCCTTTTAGCTAGCTATGCCTATCATTTAGCCTGCTAGCTAGCTGACCAGCCTAGTTCTAGTAAAGAAAATAAGTTGTTTTAACAAAAAACGGGTTCTTACTAAATCAGTACACTCGGTGCTCCATGCGAGCAGCATTATAGTCAAAGATTATTCCATTAACAGCACAAAAGTTTTTCACGATGTTGCGCAGTGATACAGTTCAGTTCAGTTGTTGTGAGGCGGTCATAGGCACGTGTATATCTGTATTTTACGGCTTCGAACGCGGCTCAGCCAATCAGATTTCAGGACCGGAACTATCCGTTTAACAAACCGGTTTTTCAAAACGCTCTTATTCACTTGGCTCCGTCACGTCCCCTCGGGTGAAGCCATGACGAGTGTGTTATCGCGAAATAACATCACGGCTGTGATTTGGTCGCGATAACACACGACCTCGAGCGTTCTATTGCTTTTATACAATAGTCAAATAAATAAAGTAAGAAATAAATAAACTGGGCCGTGAACGCGGCATTTAATATGGTTTAATGTTAGCAGTTCCTTCCGCCAAATTATAGTTCCTTAACCGGCAGCTGGTTGCTACGTCAGAGTAACGAGCTCCGCTCACTCTGCTGTAAGCCTCGCCTTTTGAAGTACGGGCTGAGCCATAAAACTGCCGCGATATCAAATTTAGCTCAGTGTTGTCATTTTTTGCTAGATCAGTATTAATGTTGTTTTGTTCCAGCCAGTCTGTAAAGCATTTTACAGCCCATTTTGTTTGACGAATGGTATTCAGTTAATGTCTGGCTAATTCCAGGTTGTTTAGGTGTTCTTCTGTCACAGCTGCCGACTGAAAAGCTTCCTCAGTGGTAATGACAGTTTGGGAATTTAGTGTAGTCTCATCTTCAGAGTCTGACCAAATCGGCTGTAGGTCAAAGGTAATTTTAAAACTATCCATTTTCTGTTTGTGCACAAAGTAAAAGTAAAAACGTTCAAATTGCTTGAGCGTCTCCCACAGCTGTCAAAATCGTTGCTTAGCAACGGCGTCTCAGCGGAGTGATACAGTGTTTGTGAAAAAAAACGTCATGGTATGGCCAGAGCCATGTAGAGAGAGACAGTCGCGTCAACGGAAGTTCAAAATGCTCGATGGTCACGTAATTCACGTAGACCACGGATAGTTCCAGGAAGTTCTTTGCGGGCTATTTAAACCCATAAACACTCAGCGACAGAACTGCGTCTTTTGGTACTTAGCAGTCAATAAATGCATCGATTTACAATATTTATATAGAAAACCAACATGTGTATGTAGTTACAACAATATAATATATTTAAAAGTAAAAATCGCCACTATTTGAGGATTAAACAGCTGTCGTTACTTACCTTGTTGACATGTTGGGTTAACATCAACATGGTTTCAAAGTGTGTCGTTGATTATTGAGTTTTAAATATTATAGATGTTAAGTTCTTAAACTTGTATGGTAGCTAAGATCAGTCATATCCTAATGTTTATTGATATACTTAGAGGGGGGGAAGGGAAGGAATGTTTCAAAATTGAGCTCAGATTAATTTTCTAACATAAATACATCTTTAATTAATGGTTGTTTCAGTAATCCCAATGCCTGGATAATCTTAATGACTACTGTAAACTCTATGACTTTCTGAAAGGACAGAAGGAGAAGAAGCCAAAGAAATTTGTTTGGCTTGCATATGCAAAAATCTGCTATTAAAAAGGGTACATTAAAACACATCACATCACATCCAGGCAGAACAGGACATAATAAACACATCTATTTATATTTTTTTGTACACATATAAATATATTTTATGTATCTTGCCTTTTTACCATGCATGTATTTACTGCAATGGATTCATTAAATAAAGCTATAACGAACTCAAACATGAATAGCCTGGCAGGCAGTTTGTCTGAGCCCTTTTCTCCATGTTGTCCTTGCATATAGTCCCCACCATGGTTTGCTCTGCTGCATGGAGATGCTTCAATCGCTCGGAGAAATGAGTGAAAATGTTTGGTTTCTCCACTGACACAGAGAGAAGAAAAACTGCTGGCTCAAGTCAGCAGGAACAATTACTAAATTACATACCATCACTAAAGACTACAACAATAACAATGTGACACTGCATACGTTTCACAAACAAAAGCCACACCACTGGGAAGCTTAATGTTTTGTTTATTAAAAATAAAGAACAGGTAAAGAATTGCAAAACCCAGGGAGCTGAGACTCAGGGTGCAGGGTGGGGGTGCTGTCTTATTGTAGGGAATCTCTAGGCTGAGTTGAATCCCCCCGTGGTTCTTGCCATTAATCCAAAATCAACTAAACTGCAACATAATGTACAGATAACAGTCAACAGAATCGCAAAGCCTGCAAACACTCAATTCATAAGTCTTATATTTGTTTACTCTTTAAAGTCTCCAATATGCGCTCTAAATCCATATCAATAGTGACGTATCATGAAAATAGCTTTCTTTTTATTGTGTAACTTGGATAATGGATATTGGATAATGATATTCTCATTTTACCTCCTCCACCACCACTCTACAAGCCCAATGTTATACTTAACTAATATTTAACTCCCACCCACCCCATGAAAAATCACGTTTAGAAGCCTTTTCTAAGATTCAACAACGGTGGATGAAATGACATTAAGAGCAGGGATTTTACAATTACTAGGCTGTTTATGGTTAACATTATGGGTTGCTAACTTTATTCAGTATCCTAGCCTCATCTGTTATCTGTTAATGTTCCTTAAATCTACTAATTTAGTAATTTAATCCACTGACACACTTTAATATACATGTTAATTTGATTCAGATGTGCTTATTATATACAAACTGATTCTTTAAATGTCTTACCCTTTTAAAGTGCATCACAACCAGTCTATTCTGCTGCAACTCGGCTGTGCTGCTAGTATTTGCTGCTAACGTCCGGGAACTATTGAGAGGCTCCATGATCCTCCATAACTGGAAAAAAACGGTCCATTGGAGTGAACGGAGTTGACGCAACTCTCTCTCTACATGGCTCTGGGTATGGCGAAATAACAGCACGGTTAGAACGCTTCTCAACCAATCAGCTTCCGTGGATGGAACTAACTGTTGTATAAACATACATATATGTATGTCTATGGATCGTTCCATTACGCCGTTAGCTCAAGTGAAGGGTGTTAGATGAGCCCTAGGAAGGGCAAAGGATTAAGTGAATACCAGTGTCAGAACTTCATTCGGAAATCATAGTGATCTGACGCATTTCCCTTCTCACCAAAAAATAATGGCGGCAAAGAAGCCATTTATCAACAGCATATATATCCAATCAAATGATATGAAAAACAGCACATAAATCAAATGATATGAAAAATATATATGCTAATACGATTTTGGATCACTCCTACGCAAAATATTACCAGTCTGGCTCATCTTTTTTGTGCCCTTTAGCATGGATGAAGCCCAGTGTAATGAAAATCTCACCCTGTCTTGTACCAGCCATCGTCCGAGATGCTCTTGCATGTTTTGTCAGGCTCATTCCAGTAGCCCCGCATGACACAGTAGCCTCTAATGAGCAACTCTCCGGTTTGGCCCAGAGGAAGCAGCTTCCCAGATGATGGCTCCACCACCTTAGCCTGCCAAATAGTTTCAGTGTCCACCTGAGTATGTTCATATTCAGTAGTAATGTTACACAGAGCAGCAGAAGAATTTACAGGCTAGTATGGTGGACGATCTCACAGATTTTTATATAATGGCTCATACATATACTGCTCAACAAACGTATGGTGACGTAGCATATCAAAATGTTTTTTATATATGTTTTCTTTTAACATATTAAAGAGAAATCTGTTCAGATATTGCCTTTTCTCTTGTGAAAACAGCAAAACTGAAGGAAAAACTGGGTTACGTCAGCACCTTGGAGCTGTTTAAACCACACTTGGGGCAAATGAAAATGTGGAGCAAATTAAAACATGTTCTTTTAACAAAAGCAACCAAATCATTTCTTAGGCAAACGCTGCCATTCAGTAGAACATGCTTTAGGTTTTGACAATCTTTGCATTTTTTTTTTAATTAATTAGAAAGTAAAATACTTTTGACAGGCACAATATGTGTGGGGAAAAAAACAAGACTGAAGAGAACTTCTCAGTGAAGTGAGAAACACCTCAGTATGGTTCATGATGCACCCAACCGTCTCAGTCTTAAGCTCTTGCCCATCCAAAGGGAACTGCAGAAAGGTTATTGGACTGTTTTCTGTGGTTCCATAAGCCACCTGAGAATTGAGAGATGGAGACGAGAGCTCTGTTACACAAACGTTTGAATGTGCTACAATTATTAACAGCATGACAGGCAAACACCTACCGTCATCCCTTTAACGTTCATGATGCTTCTTACTCTTTTCATGAGTTCAGTGGGACATGAAGATCCACCCACAATACCTGACATTTAAAAATAAAACGTTTTGCTAAGGCAGTGCTTTTCTAACTCATCAGTAAAATGTTTTGCATTTTATAAAAGATTCAGTTCGTTTAACCCGCTTAGGTCCCTTGTGGCATTTTAGATATCCTATTCTGACATCTAGTTTAATTAATGCTCATTCAACATCAATAGAACAACATCAACAACGGAAAATGTCAGAATGGTACAGTGAATTGATTGTAAACATAATTTAATAGCTAAATCATGTATTGCACAACGATAGCAATAACTGTAGATCTCCAATTCTTAACATTAAAAAGGTCATAAATGAAGGTTTACTACAGATGGATGTCTCACCTGTCTCCACAGAGGATAAATCATACTTCCCAAAATTAGGCTGACTCAGCAAGTCAATGTACATTGTAGGAGTGCCATAGATGACCGTGCATCTGAAACAAAGAGCATCATCCAGAATAAAATGTGCAGTCATTTCATATACATGACCTTTAAGTCTAAATCTTACATTAATCCATTTTCACAGTAGCCATAAAATGCTATTTCCACCTGTTCTGGTAAATAAATAGCACTCCAACTGTATTGGAATGTCTGCAAATTCAGTTGTACCTTTCTTTCTGAATAGCCTCCAAGTTTGCTTGTCCATCATACACAGCCGAAGGAAACACCAAGGTGATGCCATGTACAGCCATGCACACACCCCCCAAAACAGAGCCAAAGCAGTGGTACATGGGAACAGGAACACACACTCGAACGTTTGGCTGAGGAGAGAAGTGTCAGATGATGAGGTCTATTCTCACGTGCATCTATATTTCTTCTACTGTGCTGATCTTGAGAAATGCATAGATAGTTTACCAAGGAATATTGCTGCTAAGATTATGAATTATTTTGTAAAGAATTTGTTAGGATGTCTTACTCTCAAGCTGTAACCCATGCGCAACCCGACAAAATAAGCATTGTTTACAATGTTGTGGTGAGACAGAGTGACACCTTTTGGGTTCCCTGTTGTACCCTGTGATAGGACAACAGAGAGATGCAATTACACTAGTGATCACAGATTCTATTCTGAATTGCAACTAAACCAGCTATATGGCATATAAGCACATCACATAATGTGTACAAGCTGTACAGTACTGTGCAAATGTCAGAGACCACTACTCATTTATTTAATTTCCAGTCAAAATAGCCATTAAATACTAGTTATTAATTTTTCAAGATACATTTCTGAGGAAATTAGATCATCTTTGATATAAAGGAAAAAATCAAGGTCTTCTCCTGCTTTATATCTGAAAAAGGAGGAGATGGGTCTGAAAGGATGTTTAGATGTTAAGATGCTGTTACTAAGGCAAAAAAATTGACAAAAAAGAAGAGAATTTGCTAATCAAACTAAGAAGCTGCTGGTGTTCTCAGAACAATGGACTGACCATGCCAAAGCCCAGAACTCCACCTCACTGGATGGCTTAGGGATTATTTGAATCATTAGAATCAGAAAATGCAACCAACTTATTTTGGGACTGAACTTTTAGGATGTGGAAAAATATCCCTGCAGATTTCTTTGAAAAACTGAATGCTATAGTAAAAGCAAAGTGTAAGCGTAACAAACATTGAAAAGAATGACTGACCCTGAGATCAGCACTAGGTAATAGAACAGTACACTCAGTAAACACGTATCTCTTTTACAGAAGAATGCTACTGCTATGTAGCATTCACAGAAGTTAGTATGTGTAAAAGTCTTGACAGACTCTTTAATCCCTTAAAATCCCAGGCTTATTACACACTAAGGTTTATTATTCAGTAACTACAGGGACTTCAATGCAAACTGGCTGAGCTGTTCTTAGGTTATAGAATTGTGTAATAACAGTTTGGGCCTGCAGGCAGGCCCTGGCCATGTGAGCGGTTAAATATGCAAAGCAGAATTGTGAACAATTTCCAACAAAGGCTATATTTTTCTGCCCAACATGTCGAATACAAATTGATATTTACATACTAAATTTCAGGGCTTAGTCTGAAGCAAACAGACAAAATACCGATGTGAACTGAATGTTGATGGGGTCATCAAAGCTTAGTATCCTCTGTAAACTGTCCAGCTGCTGGTAGTGCTGACTCTCAGCTGCCTGCATCACATCATCCACATGTAGCATGCCAGGCTGCCTGCCTTCTGTCACTATCACCATGCGCAGATCTGGCAACCTACACATTCATTATGGTACATTTAATCAAAAACAACACTAACATGGTTTTCCAAGTCTGTCAATGTATAATTCATCAAGACAGCTACAACGTTGATGGTCTTAGCTTTTCTTTACCTTTATCCTTATGCTATCACAAATGTCTCTCAAACTAAATGGTATCATATAATACAATGTAAGGATGGGTCACAATCACAATATTTAATTTTTCTGAGGTTGGCAAACACATTAAAACAGACAAATAGCATAATAAGTAAAACAACATACACAATGGGCTGACATGCAGTCGGATACTTGTTGCTATACAGTATATGCAGTCAATATACACTGGCTGTTGTTGTTTACAGGCTCTTTGTAATTGGGCTAAATCTGTCTTTTTTGTATTATAGATATAATTGTTCTAGAGTTACTGACAATATTCATGACAATGTATCACAATAATGCTAACGTTGTCCCATCACTCACTTAAGCCTGTTTAAAGTCTGTAATGTAATGGCCATGTTGTTCATTAGTTTGCTGTGTTTCCTTTCTGATGTACACTCTTCAAAAAGATGGTTCTTCAAAGGTCCTTTGGTAAAAGGAATGGTTCTATTTAGAATGATGAGTTCTTTATAGAACCATTTCATGCTTAAATGGTTCTTTGTATGGTGAAATGGGGGAGGGAGAATGTGTTTTATATGGTTCTATACAAAACTATTCGAAAATGTAGCACCAAAAAAGGTTCTTCTATTGTTACAAGCTAGATATTATCACAACAAAAGCACCTTTTTTGATGCTATAGATTACCATAAATAACACATTCTCCATCAACCTGAAGAACCATTTTGCCAGGCAAAGAACTATTTAAGCATAAAATGGCTCTATACATCTATTAAACATGACGGTTCTTCAAGGATTCCTCAGTAAAGAAAATGGGTCTATATAAAGCCTTGAACATTCAAAGAACCCATGATTAAAGGGTTCTTTGCATCATAAAAGGGTTCTTCAGTTGATGGTGAATGTACTGTAGATGGTTCTATACAGAGCCTTTTTGAAAAGGATTCTATATCCCATCAAAATGGTTCTTCTATTGTTAGAAGCTTGTTACAATAGAAGAACCCTTTTTGGTGCTAGGTGTCCATGGTTGCATATAAAGAAGCAATTTCTTAAGAATTTGTGAAGAACCATTATTTTTAAGTTTGCACTCTTAAAAATCATGGTTCTTTAAGGGTTCTATGGTAAATATAATGGCCCTATATAGAACGATGAACACTCAAAGAACCCTTTGCATGATTAAAAGGTTCTTTGCATTGCTAAATGGCTCTTCCAATTCATGGAGAATGTGCTGTAGATGGTCCTATATAGAACCTTTTTGAAAAGAATTCTATATAGCACCAAAAAAGGTTAATCTATAGTTTTGATGTCAAGCCTGTAACAATAGAAGAACCCTTTTGGTACCATTTAGCACCCTTTTCAAAAAGGTTCTAAATCCCCATTGGCAAAAAAGTTGGGACGCTGTGCAGAATGTAAATAAAAATAGAATGCAATGATGTGCAAATCATGTAAACCATTTTAAAGGAAAATACTACAAAGACAACATATCAAATGTTGAAACTGAGAAATTTTATTGTTTTTTTGAAAAATATATGCCCATTTTAAATTTGATGCCAACAACAGGTTCCAAAAAAGTTGGGACAGGGGCATGTTTACCTCTGTGTTTCAACACCTCTTCTGTTAACAACACTCTGTAAGTTTGGGAACTGAGGAAACCAACTGCTGTAGTTCTGAAAGTGAAATGTTTTCCCTTTCTGGTTGATATAGGATTTTAGCTGCTCAACAGTTCAGCATCTCTTTTGTTGTATTTTTCATTTAATTTCATTTCATAATGTGCCAAATGTTCTCAGTGGGTCACTGTCTGGACTGCAGGCAGGCCAGTTTAGCACCTGGACTCTGTTAATACGGAGCCATGCTGTTGTAATTAATGCCACCCTATACCATCATAAATACTGGCTTTTGAACTGTGCACTGATAACAAATAAAGAGTGGTCTTTATCTTGAAGGACACAGTGTCCATGATTTCCAAAAAGAATTTCAAATGTTGATTTGTTGGACCACAGGACACTTTTCCACTTCCCCTCAGTCCATTTTAAATGAGCTTGGGCCCAGAGAAGGTGGCAGCATTTCTGGATCCTGTTTATGTACGGGTTCTTCTTTGCATTTTAGAGGTTTAACTTGCATTTCTGGATGCAGTGATTTCCACTACAGAATCATGTCAAATATTTTTAATAAACAATAAAATTTCTCAGTTTCAACATTTGATATGTTGTTTTTGTAGTATTTTCAATTAAATGTAGGGTTTAAATGATTTGCACATCATTGTATTTTGTTTTATTTACATTTTGCACAGTGTCCCAACTGTTTTGGAAATGGTGCTGTATATAGAAACATAGAAAACACATCAATCTGAAGAGGCCTTTCGTGATGCATGTTCATTTTCTTTTAAATGTGCGCAGAATTCATGGCTCTAAATAGAACCATTCCCTTTACTAAAGAACCCTTGAAAACCATCTTTTTCAAGAGTGTAGTGATGCTGTACCTCAAGCTTTTAATTATTCCAGAGGCTGCAGTGTTGAGCTCTGGGCAGATTTTTCTCAGTATGTCACAGAACCTCTGACTCTTCGACTGAGTGGGACACACTACTGCGTTACACTGGACCTGCACACAAGCGTTTCAGAAGAAATGACCCAAACTGAAAGACCTAAGAGTGAAATTAAATGTAAATGGATCGATATTTTTTTCATGCTATGATCCAGATTAAAATTCACCATCAACAGTGTTGCATCCACAGATTAAAATGATTATATGAGCAATTATAAAATCGATCAGTTCTAAAAAGCGAACTGCATTATGTGATCAACTTTAAACATCTGCAGTAGAATTTGCAGTTGCACAAAAAAATTCATGCACCTTTCTCAGGGCGAACTCCAACTCTGTGAGTTGATAAGCTGGGTTCAAAGACACCTACAAAGAGCTTCTGGTTAACGTCCATCTTTCCACAAGTCTGCATTAAATTCTACTGAAGGAATATTCTTCATGAAAACTTTCTGTGCTCACCAAAATGATGCCAGCCTTTGCTGTGGCAAACTGGAACAGAATCCATTCATATATGTTTGGACACCACAAACCGAGCCTGTCGCCCTTCTTCAAGCCGAGGGCAACAAGTCCTGCTGCCAGTTGATCAACCTACGTAAAGATGTAGAATGACACACACCACATGACATGAGACGTGGTGTGTGGAGTCAATACAACTTGAATAATATCATTTCAATGGATTATGGTACAATTATGCTCCCTGACTGAAGGCACTGAGATGTACCCTTGATGGTCCCACCACAGAGGGGTACTGCCCCAGGGCCAATTTCGTACCTTTTGTTCTGAGAGTGTACAGTTGCGCAGTGCATCAAAAGTTACTATAATGTTCAATACTAGTGTAAACTCCAAAATCATAGAAGCAAATTCATTCATATATTTGGATACAGTGTCCTATCCAACAAACATGGGGCGCTCAGACAATGACAAATATTTTAAATTTTCTCCCACTATCATTTTGGTATCAAGCTTTGTAATAGCCCACTTTGTATCAGTATGACTGACAAAATTCTAGGATTGTGACCAGAAACGGCCATTATTAACAGGCTAGTGGGGCTAAGTCCTCCCTCTCTTTAAAAAAAAGGCATCAAAATAAGGTTTCACTTGTTTTACTTGCCATTACCATTAGCAAACTGATTATTTTGGACTTCTATGGATTCAAGAACAACAGCATCAGCAAAAAAAAAACTCATAAGAAAATAAGAAAAATAAGATTTGACCAAGACAGGGCTGATATACATCAAGCCCAAGCTGTAGACTCATGTAGCCTCTCTGTGATTCTGTGAAGTGATGTGTTACACAAAGTGAAACACCCCTAGGGCTTTTATTCACTTGGGCTCATTTGTTTAAGCCCACAATGCCTAGCTCTGACCTCCGGCAGTCTGCAGGCTAGCACAGACAACCAGATAAAGAATGCAATGATAGCATGAACCTACGTCCTGCTGGAACTGAGAGAATGTTTTTTGGATGTTGTCCTGAAGAAAGACCACTGCATCCCTGTCAGGCCATTTGGCTGCTGTTGTCTGCAATGCCTCGCCCACAGTTAGAGGGAGGAGAGATACAGTTGAAGTGCCGTGAACATAACTGTTTGTCAAAGAAGGAATGCAGGGTGGACTGTCAACGTGAAGTGATCTGAGCGAGAGAATATAAAACACAATGATACCGCACAGCTTATTGCATACGACACGGTGAGAACTTCAGCATTCAACATGTGGTCTGGGTGTCAGTTGCCCAGAAAAAACATTGCCTTTATAAATTAACATACAACCATTTCATTATGATGAAAACCCATTATCTCAACCCAAAGCACGTTTAGAAATAATTTGTAGTAAGCATCACATCAGAAGTGAGCAGTACATTTATTCAGGTCCAGTTCAAGCATACTTGTGATGAAGGTGATATATTTTTCACTGTTACACTTCATTTACATTTAGGTCCTAATTCTTTTTTGTGTTTTACTCCATTCTGTTCAGTTGGTGACAGAATCTTGACTGCTTTGCTCTCACCTGTCTGTTTTATTTTAGTCAAAAAAAAGAACCCCAAAAAAGAAAAGAATGGCAAGTAACAAACTTCTGATAGGTGCCACTGCAGTTCTGTAAGGAAATCAGTACTTTTCTTTAACTTGATACTTTCTACTCATGTTGTCATTATGAGGCTACCCTACCCACAGCTGCATCATATTAAAATGAGCACACATACCTACAGTACTTTATTTTCTCACTCTTCTGGTTCCAAGGCTTCCCAAGACTTATTTTCAATAATTCAGTGTAATAGCCACAGCACCTCAATAACTTCTCTGCATGGTACGCTGCCATTGCCATCTTTTCACTCAGCCTGCCGCTTGATTCATGGTACACCTTTCCACCAAACCTTTATAAGCGTGTCCTAGAGTGCCCCTCCTCCAAAAAGGTTTGACTACTGCGCCCAAGACTCCAACACCATCCCACCAGAGTCTAATCGATTCTCAAACGTGAACTATGCACTCGCAAAATATTTCCCTATTTGTAAAAGCTTCCCTGTCATTTTTGAAACAAAGCACAGGCCAATCTGGGGAAGAAAAAGTGCACCTTTCACATTAGCTCGTCATTTTAATATTACATATACGTGTATTCACTGCACTGTTGTCTCTACATGGTTTTATATATTTTGCAGTGTGACAGTATGACCTGATTTGTGTGGAGTTCGGGTTAATATTATTTGTCTCCACAGCCCTGTATGCGCTCTTTCATACTAACTCTGACAGAACCGACCACCTGCACTCATAAACACACTCCCCTCCACTACACGGCCAGTGTTCTAACAGTTTGTCCTACCCATCGAGCATTTCAATATATAGTGCAGTAACGTACTCGATTAAACGCTTTATTGTGTTTTTAATGTAAACTCAGCACAGACTCCGCTTAATATTACTCCATCACATCGTATCTGACAGTAAAACCGCCCTACTGCTTCGTGCTGGCGCCAAATCACTCTATTTAAATCTCCATGGTAACAGCGACGTCTCTGATTGGCGGAGCTCGCTTTAGGATGTATGGGTAATGTATTTCTTTACGATTAATGAGGGAATAAAACGCAGTTTTCGAAAACAAAGTTGAAACCAGACTGATTCATGACCATAACTGGAGCATATAACATCATCTTACTTACGCCTATATTGGCTGGATAAAATATAATGGGTAAAAATCAAAATCCCTACGGCAATTATGAAGGGGATGTTTTACCTCTGGAACCAGACTGGTCAGGGCTGCGTGTAGCCACGACAAAGCTATAAATAATATGTTCAAATAAATGTTCAAACTAGCGACCAGTGCCCATGTCCCATAATTTTAATGCATATATGTTTACATCCACATGAACAGCATTACAGAGAAACAGAGCATTTACTTTAAAAAAAATGAAGTAAAATGAATAAAATGCAGATATTTTGGCACAGTGACCCAGCATGTTCTGCTCTTCTGGAGTACAATAAATACATCATGAAACATCAGTTTGAAATATCGGCCAGATCTTAAGATCTGTTAAATCCCAATAATTTTTTGAACGCAATTATCTGCTGACACTGATATAATTACAATACTATTATCCATCCCTAATTTAAATAGGGACAAAAATCAACACAAAAGTTATACATCAAGACTAACAAATCTTTTATACTTTTATGTTTTCACAATTTAAGGAATTGGTTAAAATAATTTTCCCACTACAAAAATGGAAATTTTGTGTGCGTGTGTGTGTGTGTGTGTGTGTGTGTGTGTGTGTGTAGCTGATTGAGTGCACTTGTAGTCTCTTGTTCCATAGTGACTTGAATGTTTCAGATTCAGCACTGTTTGTTATCTTATGTCCAAGTTCAGGATGTGATGGTCCTGCAATGTACAGTTAAATGTTTTCACTTGCAGGAGCATGCTGGAAACAGTTCCTTCACTCATAATGCTCTGAGTCTTAAGTACAAGCTGGACAACGAGTTTGAGCTTGTGTTTGTGCTAAGTGTTTTGCTAGAAAAGAATTTACAGCATTACAGTAATCTGAAAGCCATTTCTGTCCGCAATTGTATCCATTGCTTAAGAGTCTCCCACCATATGTCTTGTGGTTCTCCTAATTTAGGTGGGATTTCAAAAATTCCTGTCACTCAAATACGTGGACAAGTTCATAGATGATGTTCAGCTTCACTTCAGAAATCGCTATAAAAATGAGTTGGAATAGAAGGGTGCTCTGAAGTTTTTGATAAATTGTTCTGAGTTTGAGGATGACTTCAACAGACTTCTTCGGTAAGACTCTTCTGAGGATTAGAAAGCAAGCAGGCTGGTCACCACCATTGATATAATTCAGCTGGTACTTCAGGGGCTGTATTACAGAAACATCCTAATTCTGAAATCTTATCTACCACCCTGTTCCAAATGTTTGTGCAAAATGTAAATAAAAACAAAATGCAATGATGTGCAAATCATTTAAATGCTATATTTTATTGATAGTAGTACAAAGACAACGTATCAAATGTTGAAACTGGGAAATTTTATTGTTTTTGAAAATTATATGGGCAAAACCAGTATTGGATTGCTGTGATCTGCGGGCCCTCAGGCAGCACAGCACTAAAAACAGACATGATTCTGTAGTGGACACTGCATGGGCTCAGGAACACTTTTGAAAACCACTGTCTGTGAACACAGTTTGCCGCTGCATCCACAAATGCAAGTTAAAACTGGACCATGCAAAGAAGAAACCATATGTTAACAGGATCCAGAAATGCCACCACCTTCTCTGGGCCCGAGCTCAATTAATTTGGACTCAGGTGAAGTGGAAAAGTGTCCTGTGATCCGATGATTTCAAATTTGACTTTTTTTTAAATCTTGCAAGCCATCCAGCTTGTTATCAATGCACAGTTTAAAAGCCGGCACCTGTGATGATATGGGGGTGGATTAGTGCACATGGCATGAGTGACTTGCACATCTGTGAAGGCAACATTAATGCTGGACAATATATGTAGGTATTGGAGCAACCTATGCTGCCATCCAGACAACATCTTTTTCAGGAATGGTCCTGTTTATTTTAGCAAAACAATACCAAGCCACATTCTGCACATATTACAAAAGCATGGCTCCTTAGTAAAAGGCACTAAACTGGCCTGCTTTCAGTCCGCATCTGTCACTCATTGAAAGCATTTGGCTCCGAACTGTTGAACAGCTTAAATCCTGTATCAATGAATGGGACACAATTTCACCTTCCAAACTACAGCAATTGGTCTTTTCAGTTCTTAGAAGCTTACAGAGTGCTGTTAAAAAGGTGATGCAGCACAGTCGAAGACATGCCCCTGACCTTTTTTGAACCGTGTGGCTGGCATCATATTCAAAAAGGGCATATATTTTTTGAGAAACAATAAAATTTCTTAGTTGATATGTTGTTTTGGTACTATTATCAATTAAATATAGGGTTTAAATAATTTGGACATCATTGCATTCTGTTTTTATTTACATTTTGCACAGTTTCCAACTTTTTTGAAAACGGGGTTGTATTTAGTCACCATGACCACTTAAGTTAAAACTGAATTTAGGACATTAGCTATTACAGAAGTACATTTCCCAAGTTCATTATCTTATCCTAATGCCAGTATTATAGAAGTATCCTAACTTTACGAAATCTCCTATCTTCTAACTAACATCTGCTTTAAGCTTCCATTTTTACAATTTGCTGTTCTATTGAAAATGCAGTGTTACCATGTTTACAACACAGTGACAAGTACCATAACAAGATCATTAGCATTAATTTGCGTATTCTTGTTTTTCATATTGCAAAACTTATATTGATTACAACTTGACACATGAAATATTGCAGCAGTGGTGGAAAATAATGAATAGACTGAGTTGAACATATGATTGTGTATTAGGAGAAATAGCGTGGTGCACAGGGATAACATGCTACTAGAGTTTGGCCTTGATAAATGGAAACTGAAACTGGAGAGTGGTGCTAACAGCAGAGGGCAGCCACAGTTGCAGAATTATTAGCTTTTCTGACCGAGGTTACTAAACCTCCAGTTCATTCTTCTTAAAAAAAGAACACCTGTCCAGCAGACTTACATTTCTGTTATTTCAATCATGTGTCTTCTCAGCTGTGTGCATATCATCGGCTGCTTAGTAACAGACATGATATAATTGAGTATTTACATTAATTGAATAATATAGGATTTCCTAACTTCATATAAGATATTATAATAAAAGATATAATTCCTATATTAAGATAGGATTTGCCTCTGTAGTGTAAATTTGTGAAATAGCTGGAACTAGTCGATCTTTAACTTAGGACTGATGAAAGAAAGTTTCTGTAATATGGCCACAGGAAGTTAAATTTGATTATGTTGATTAATTTTATTTGAACTGGGGGAAATGCTTTCCCAAAATGTCAAGATGCCTAAGAAAAAAATGATATGTTTATTGTTATAATTTGTGCTTAATGCTATAATTTGTGTATATCAGTGTGTGTGTGTGTGTGTGCGTGTAGAGAGGCAGAAAAGGAGTCTAAGGGAACTGTGAAGCCTATGATTAAAACTGAAGAAGGAGATAACAGCAAGAAGCAGACTGGCAAGAATAATAAACAAACAGGTTTTTTTTGTTTGTTTTCTTGTTTCTTTGTGTTTTGTCTTTTTTCTGTGAAATATTTATATTATTCCAACAGTATTTATACCCTTCCAAAATGACAATAAGTAAGGTTAAACTCTCAGTATTCATGATATAAATGTAATGCAAACATAAAATAACTGAAACAAAGTGCACTTTTTAGAACTTTGTGTAAACAGTGCAAGATTTCACTCTAATCATTTCTAAAGTAAGTTACTATGAGTTATCCATGGTTCCATCCACTGTTTATTGGACCTGGTTTCTCCATCTGAGTGACAGAAATCGTATCATGATATAAATATCATTATTATTTGCGTTGAGCATAATGCTTACTTTTAAGTCTGACTAGTATTTAAAAAATAAACCACAAATGGTGCCATATACAGTATTATAGTATACATCAGAGTAAAACTGGCCAATTTTGTCATAGAAACATTTTTCTCAAACACATAGTCTAAGATTTTCTGATGAAAGGCCTTCTAAGTATAGAAGCAGTCCTTATTTGCAAATTTGTTTGCGTTGCCTTTATATTTCTTCTGGGCTGATCCTCTTGCATAGTTATGTTGGTTTCTGTTTGTATTCCAATTTGTCTCCTCAGAAAACCATGGTACCATCTTGTCCACAAATTGGGTTTAGTAGGAAAGTAACTCCCTTTGCAGAACTTTTTTGTGATTTTATATTATCTGTGAGCTCAGTGACAATAAGGTATCTGTCAAAACAGTCT